CATGTTCTGGGTGCAGGAATAGCTCACTTTTATAGTGTTTTTATTAAAAATTTTGTGTAGGCGATGGTCTTTTGGGAAGTGTTTTTCAACCAAGGATAAAAATTTGTTTCCGATGTTGGTCTTAAGGCATTTGTTAAAAGGCGGGTATATACCAGATGATTTTCCGTTTTCGGTTCCCTCTGTTGGTGTTTGTGCTAGTTTCATAGGACATTCGGTGGTTGAACCCGCTAGCGTGCAACGCTTCTTCATAGCACGGTTTTGCATTGATGAATGCTTCCTCGTTGTGGGACAGTTGGGAGATGCGGCGGTTGACAGCCTCCGGTAGTTGCCGAATGATTGGAGGTGGGTGGTTTGAATGGGCATTTATATAAAGTGGGCGGTCGTTGGGTTTTATGTACGGGCAGAATGTATCTTTATCTAGGTTGAAAGTGATGTCGAGGAAATTCACGATCTTTAGGTTTGTTTTGATCGTTATCAACAGTCCTTCATCTTTGAATTGTTTGGTGATGTTTTTCTTAATTCTTTCGGCTTGTGGTCCCGAGATGTTTTCATATGCAGCCAGGCCATCGTCTCGATATAGCCCTATGTTTCCTTTAATCACGGTCTTCTCTGACAATTTGTTCAGCATGTACAGGGCAACAAGCTCGCATATTTCGGCCCCATCGTATGATCCCATTGTAACGTCAAACAAATTGTCGCTCGCTCTCTTAGTCCATGCAGTGTCACCGTCGAAGAGGAGGGATTCTCTAGCGTGCATTATAATGTTCATATCTTTTTGCGGTATGTTAATAAAATTCTTTGCAAACTCAATAGCTTTCTTTAGTAGGCTTTCAGTGATAGATGGGTAGAAATTGTCAATGTCGAAAATTACAAATGTGTGGTTAGCTTTGTTTGAAATATTCTTGAACCACTCGATGACTGATGCCGAATTTCTCCATTGGTTTAAAAGGGTTTGGCTTCGTATGCTGGTGTTTATTCTGTCCACAATAGATTTGCTTACGACACCGATGTCGCTCTTCGCGGGATTAGTGAGGCGGCAAGACGGCTTATTTTCAAAATTATCCTTATGGTCTTTTAGGGTAACGAATGCTTGTCGTTTCGCCATACATTCTGCTCTGTCTCCGATATTCAACGTGCTTGCGAGGACTTTTGCTTCTTGAATTATTTTGTTGTAAGCTTCGCTGCTGGCTTTTTTGTATGTTGATGTTATGTTGTCGTGGAGTAGTTTGTCGTACGAGGTTTTTTCAAGCTTGTACATGTTGGTTGTTTTATCTGCGGGAATGAATGCCTTGGTAGATGACCGGATCGTCTTAATATCTTGTTGTAATTGTTGCTGGAATGGGTCGGATATTTTTCGGAATTCTATGCTGTTGACCATGCTGAAGACGTCGTTTTCAAAATGTTTCATGTCTGCTATCACTGGAGGGCACTTTCTGGATCGGAACCCAAATTTATCACTGTTGTTGTTGTTGCTTGTAGGGTTGTTGTAAAATAACGCTTTCCATCTCATCGTCTTGATAACTTTTTCGATTATATATATATATATATATATATATATATATATATATATATATATATATATATATATATATATATATATATATATATATATATATATATATATATATATATATGTTAGTTGTGTAATTGTACATGCACTCTGTAATATGTTAAGATGAAAATGTTCTAGAGTGTGTATTATATAATTTCCATACCCAGCGCAAGCAGAAAGATGTTGTCTGCCGCGGCTGGGTCTCGAACCCGCGACCTTCGAATTACTAGATCGACAATTACACAACTAACATAACACTTGCAGAACTAGTATTGTTCGATGCTGAATTAATATAAACGAGTATGTTTATGACATTCAGTATATATTTCATAATTTCCAGTCTTGAATCCATCTGACTGTGCAGCTCAGTAGGTAGAGCGTCGATCTAGTAATTCGAAGGTCGCGGGTTCGAGACCCAGCCGCGGCAGACAACATCTTTCTGCTTGCGCTGTGTATGGAAATTATATAATACACACTCTAGAACATCTTCATCTTAATATATATATATATATATATATATATATATATATATATATATATATATATATATATATATATATATATATATATATATATATATATATATATATATATATATATATTAAGATGAAAATGTTCTAGAGTGTGTATTATATAATTTCCATACCAAGCGCAAGCAGAAAGATGTTGTCTGCCGCGGCTGGGTCTCGAACCCGCGACCTTCGAATTACTAGATCGACGCTCTACCTACTGAGCTACACGGTCAGACGGATTTAAGACTGGAAATTATATTTATTTAAATTATAATTATATGAGTTTCATAATTTCCAGTCTTAAATCCGTCTGACCGTGTAGCTCAGTAGGTAGAGCGTCGATCTAGTAATTATATATATATATATATATATATATATATATATATATATATATATATATATATATATATATATATATATATATGTGTGTGTTTTGATTGATGTTCTTACGAGTATGAGCGGCGCAAGCAGAAAATTAATTCTATAGTTGACCACGGCTGGGATTCGCTGGATTAATAGCTGGCACCAGGCATGGAAAAGAAGAAATTCGTTCATGTCATTACCATCACAAAAAATAACATCGTTCCCAACTTGGCCTTGTAGCTCAGAAGGTAGAGCGTCGTTCTAGAAATGCGAAGGTTGCGGGCTCGATTCCCAGCCTAGAAATTTGCAACGACTTGCTTAAAATTCAGTGCGCTTTGCCCCATCACTACAAAAGTAAATTTCTGCCAATATACTTCGGAAATATATAATCAATCCCCATGAAATGGACACCGAAAAGGATAGAGTATGTATAGAGTGCCTCGAGGGTATAATTACCGTTTTAACGCAAGCGTAAGGAGAGCAAATACGTTGCACTTGCCTTGCTGTCAGAATTTCGCAAGAAACCTATTGACGTGCATCGTCGATAACACGAGAGTGGCATTCGCAAAAAGAGCACAAGAGTGGCATTTAGACTCAAGTGACGTTTCAGTTATAACGCAAGTATAGTTAATGTATTGTAGGCTATACTTGCCGGGTTAGCAGATATTTGCAAGTTTCCGATGAGCGTCCATCCTACTCCGCTGCAAGATGGGAGTTCAGCTTGAGTTATGCAAACATTACTACTAGGCTCGTAGCCAGCGGAATTTCTCGCTTTGATGAAATACGGAGACTGTACATCACCAGGATTCCTGTTAGAAATAAACAAACATAACCAAGACACTCAAAAGTAATGCAAACCAAACAAATATTGAGATAATATTATTACTTTTGTCCATTTATTTGATTATGATTGGTTATTAAAGACGTGGTTATAAAGGTTAGTTGAAAATTGGTTAAAAATTAACACAATCGTACCAACCAAAGGTCAATCAGCACGCAAACGAGCGTGCAGAAATCTGGACACGCATGCGGTTGATAAAAGGAGTGCTTAGGTATACTGATGAATTGAAATTAATATAAAAAATCGCTCTTAAAATTGAACATAACTGCATTGCTGAATTGAATACAAATTTTTGAAAGATAATGTTTTTTTCGGATTAAGTACTCGTAAAATTAAAAATATATCAGTATAAGAGGCTTTTGTTTTTTAATGAGTAATAATTGTACAAAAATGCATGACTTTTACATTTTATAAAAATCTATATACTTAGCCACCATAATTAAACTACCTTTTCCGCTAGCAAAATTAGCAATCTGAAAATTCATATCGTAGGATTGTACATACAATCATAGATTTGTTATTAAGTTACTGTAATCCGTAAAGATACAACAGACGCCAAAAGCAACACATTTTTCTTTATTCATTCTCTGTTGGAAAATATGATAATTTTGTTGAACCATGCAGTATAAATTTTTCAGTTCATTAAACGCTGATATAGATTTTGTTTCAACAAAACCAGTGTTATTCGGCCTCTTTCACAATATACAGTTATTTCAATAAAGGTTGTCCCCCAAGCAAAGCGGAAAAGTCGAATACGAGTGCGAGAGGCTGCTGGGAATCGCTAATAAATGAATGAATTCATTAGCGATTCCCAGCAGCCTTTCGCGCTCGTATTCGACTTTTCCGCTTTGCTCGGGGACAACCTTAATTGAACAAGACGCTCAACGGAGCGTTAATTAACTCGCTAGGGCTATACAAATACGCGCATTACTGTACATGATCACACATGATACATACAGTACACAGCTATTTCAATTACTAGTATTAAAGATTTAAGGTTTTCCCGAGCTAAGCGGAAAAGTCGAAAACGAGCGCGAAAGGCTTAACACAGTACTAAAATGCGGTAGGCCCTACCCCTACAAGTAAAGTTATATTAAATCCGCAGGGGCGTAGGAACCGGGG